TATATATATATATATATATATATATATATATATATATATATATTAAATATATATTAAATTTCACTACAAAGTACATTTCGTTCATAGTATATCAATATTCACTTTGTAGTTAAATTAAATATTCAACAAGTCGTTGAAGATGATCATTTTATTGCGACTCAAAAATTTGTAAGAATCTAAAAAAGTATTTTTCCTCTTTATCAAATCAAGTTGAAAGGATTTAAGGCATTTAAAGTTCATTAATACTATTAATAAAAATGCAGCACAAGATTTCAAATAACTAAACCTACATTTAGGTTCTAGAAGACACCTTCTACTTACTTCTGAAACTCTTTTTCTCTTTCTAAAAAAGAATTTAATTTATTAATTATTTATTTGAAAACAATGAAAATAAATTAAATTCTGTTTTAAATAAATAGGATTTAGGATATCAAAGTAATAAGGTAATTTGCAGAAAATTTTTCCAAAAATTTCAAAATGTCACCCTATCAAATGACTAACATATTTTTGAAAAAAACTGTATTCTAATTTTCTCCGAGAACCCGAAATTTTTGAAGTGGACTATATTGAAAATTTTCTTCAACGACCGTCTTGCATAATATTTTTCAATTTACACCACATTGGAGTCAAATTTATTGGCATTTTCTATTTTTAATTAATAGCCCGTTTCTGTGTATTCTCATATTAATTACTGTATTCTTTTGTACAGGATGCCTGAAAATTATGGTTCTTCCGGGAAATTAGAGATTCCTGAGGTCATTCGAAGCAACTTCTTCCTTTACAAAAATTTTCTCCGAGGTATCTTTAACGAATTATTAATGAACAACGCTGACCAATAAGAGGCGCGCTCAACTGGCGCGAGGTAGCCCAGCCAACAAGCGCACGAAGCCCAGTTCCCCTCATTGGCTCGGCCGCCTAGCGTCAGGCGAGCACGCCTCTCATTGGTCATTGATTTATGTTAATAACTCGTAAACGAAGCTGCCGATTGCATTTTCGTTAAGGAAAAAGTTACTACAAATGGCCTCAGGAACCCCTCATTTCCCGGAAACACCATAATTTTGGGTCACCCTGTATAATAAGCTGTACGTATTTTTTGTGTATGTTTTTATAAACACCGCAAGTGGATTAACCAGTATTGGCATTATGCAGACAATGTTCTCATTAATATCAAGTTTGATGAAGCTCGAGCTATGAATTCCGGAATTATTACTGACGACCAGAGAATAAAAATTACATCAGAGAATGAAAATTACATTTTCATTTCATTTGAAATTACGTTACGGAAACATCTCTAAACGACTGGAAATATTTTCCTCACGGGAAGAAGTTTAAATACTCCATAAAAATTGGATAATAACGTGAACTAGGTCAGTTTTAAAAACTTTTATTTTAAGTTGATCAATAAATCTTGTCCCTAGAACTCTGTTAGCGTAAAAGAGATGACTGGGTGAGAATGTAAAGTGTTTCTACGCTCGACGATATTGATCCTATTTTATTTCATGAACAGAGGATTTAACTTCAGTGGATGTCCTTATATTACAGATAAGATAATGTTGTTAGCAATAACATATTATGAACGTATTAAATACAAAATCTCTATACTCTATACTCTATACTATCAGATTTAGATCATTCGATACATTAACGATATTGTACTATTTGAGCCGTTTATTTTGAAAGTGGCATAAGTCACTTTTTCAAAAAAATCGACTTAATGGTAACACTAATTACAATTGAATGGTATCTTTTCATTTAAATAAAAAAAAAGAAAGTGACTTATGCCACTTTCAAAATAAACGGCTCATTTATCTCGATAGGTTGTACCATCTTAACTAGAGTTGGGCCATCTTCATTCGACTGTCAAATAATGAATAAGAATAAACTTGTGCACTTGAAAAATTTGTACGTAGAATAGAAAAGCCTCGATTCCTTGACTGTTATACTTACATGTATTTCTTTCTCATTCGCACACTATACTAACAAAAATGTGCTCAACTCGAAACCAACAATATCACTGCCCACATCGATATTAACAGGTTGTTTTCCGTTACCTTTGCTTATTTTCTTAAGCTCAGTTTCATCAGTATGGTAGTACAATACTTATAATTTAATGAGAAAGGTTGACACTTTATTCAACATGCTTGTTTAACAATTTTCAAAATTTTCAAGAATCCTTCGAGATTTGTTTATATATCTTTAAAGACTACGACACGTTCAGACACCAAAATTAAAACAGCACTTTAAAAAAATGTCCGTTTTCGCGTGGAGTGACCCTGTAACAGCTAAGAAATAAATTATTTTTTCTTCGCAGAAGTTTTTTCCATAATTCATTTCAATAAAAATGAAATTAAATAAAGAAATAATTATTTCAAGAAACATGGAAAGGATGTTCTCTTTTATCAATTAAATTCTTTGAGTTTAATATCATATTTCAAATGATATTAAATTAAAAAAACAGGAATTTACATTAATTTCATATTCGTATGCCAATCTCCCAACCAGCAATCCTATATTTGGAATTTCAGTGGTATTTAAAAAAAAAAATGCACATATTTTTTTAAATATATGTGGATATCACGGACACATTTATTAACAGTAAAAGGTGTGATATATTAATAAAAGCATGACAAATTAACAGATATGCACGAAAAACACATGAAATTTACATACCCTGAAAAGTTGTCTAATTGCGGAATACAGAAACACCATTACCACGTCTCTTGCATTCATTCGCCTGACGAGCCACTACGTGCACCCGTCTTCGTGTAAGTGCTTGAGACAGTTCGTGAGATTCTAAAAAATCACATAATTCCATACTTGGGTAAACCACTAAAACTGGTTTTTTTAACCAATTTTATATCCAAGCCTGCATTGAGAATTTAAAAAGTTTTTCAGATTTACGTCAGTTGTACGTATACCTGCTAGAAATTACGTCGACGTAGATGGACACAGTAAGAAATGGCTGGCACTGAAACATGCAAAAGTTTTTAGATTTATTATCGGACCTATTTTATGCGTTTATCGCAAAATTCAACAATTGCAATTTAAAATATCAGAAATTTTAAAAGAATTTAAAAATGTCAATGTATTATTTTCAATCTGTCAAAACTATTAAAGAAAAAGCTTTAATTTGTAGTCTCTACTT